GATAGATAGATAGGCTGGGAGAGCTGTTCAATAATAAAGGAAGCATAAATGACATAAATCACACAACAAAATACAATGCCTGATCCTTCATTGGATATGCTGAATTAACGTTTTTCTTGAAAAACCTAAACAGCTATAAAAGACATCATTGGAACAACTGGAGAAAAGTGATTATGGACTATATGTTATTTTTATTTATTTATTTATTTATTTTTTGAGACAGAGTCTCGCTGTGTCTCCAGGCTGGAGTGCAGAGGCATGATCTCCGCTCACTGCAGCCACCACCTCCCAGGTGTAAGTGATCTCAAGCTTCAGCCTCCCAAGTAGCTGAAATTACAGGTGCTCACCACCATGCCCGGCTAAATTTTGTATTTTTAATAGAGACAGCATTTCACCATGTTGGCCAGGCTGGTCTTCATCTCCTGGCCTCAAGTGATCCGCCCGCCTCGGCTTCCCAAAGTGCCACTATATGTTAAATAATAGCGTCTAATGATTACCAAATTTACTGAGTAACAATTTATCGTGTTTCTGAGGGAGAATGCCTCTGTTGTTAGGAGATGCGTGCTGAAGTGTTTAGGGAGATAAGTCTTAAGATTTCTGCAGGTTATTCTCAAAAGGTTCAGCAAAACCAAACAAATATAAATAAACAAGATGTATACATGTACAAAGAGAGAGAGAGAAGAAACCTGGCAAAAATGTTAACAGTTGGTAAATTTAGGAGAAGAGTATAGGGGCATTCATCGTCCTATTCTTGCAATTTATTTGAAGATGTAAACTTCTCATTAAAATTTTTTGAGACAGGATCTGTCTTTGTTGCCTGTGGCTGAAGTGCAGCGGCACTATTCGTAACTCACTACAGCCTCAAACTCCTGGGCTCAAGCCATCGTCCTGCCTCAGCCTCCTGAGTAGCTGGGACTAAAGGCACATGCCATTTTTCTTTTAAAGTTGGAGAGAAGGAATCCTTCAACCTGTCTTCACTCTGTCTAGACTTCCTTGCAGTGGTTTTTCTCACTGTATGACTTTATTGCTGCCTTATATCCTTTTTTTTTTTTTTTTCCCTTTTTGAGATGGAGTTTCACTCTGTCACCCAGGCTGGAGTGCAATGGCATAATCTCTGCTCACTACAACTTCTGCCTCCCAGGTTCTAGCGATTCTCCCACCTCAGCCTCCTGAGTAGCTGGGATCACAGGCACACACCACCATACCCGGCTACTTTCTGAATTTTTTTTATTAGAGATGGGGTTTCACCATGTTGGCCAGGCTGGTCTTGAACTCCTGGCCTCAAGTGATCCGCTCATCTCGGCCTTCCAAAATGCTGGGATTATAGGTATGAGTCACAGCACCTGGCCTGCCTTATATCCTTTTTGCAATACGGAGTGTGGGGCATAAATAATTTAAAAATAGCAGCTTCTTTCCAGACATTTTTATTTATTTTATGTTATTTGGTCTTTCCAGACATTTTTAGTAGCGAACATGTGATTTAAAAAACAAAAATTAGCCACCTTGCCATTTAAAGTAAAAATACCTACTGTAAAAAAGACACAGCTATAGGACAGGCACAGTGGCTAACGCCTGTAATCCTAGCACTTTGGGAGGCTGAGGCGAGTGGATCACTTGAAGTCAGGAGTTCTAGACCAGCCTGGCCAACATGGCGAAACCTTGTCTCTACTAAAAATACAAAATTAGCTGGGCGTGGTGGCGCATGCCTGTAATCCCAGCTACTCGGGAGGCTGAGGCAGGAGAATCGCTTGAACCCGTGAGGTGGAGGCTGCAGTAAGCCAAGATCATGCCACTTCATCCAGCCTAGGCGACAGACTGAGACTCTGCCACAAAAAAAAGATACAGCTACAGAGGCAAACACCAGGACAGTGACTGCCAAGGATTGGGATGGGGAAGAGATTGACTACAAAGGGGCGTGAGGGAACTTTAGGGGGAATGATGAAATATTATCTATTATCTCTCATAATTGTGGTAATAGTGATACAGCTTACATTTGTTAAAACTTTAGATGTGTAGACCTAAGAAATGCAAATTTTACTGTGGCAAATTATACCTCAGTAAACCTGACTTAAACATACACACACACACACACACCACCACCACCAACAACAACAACAACAACTGCTTCTCAACAGGTTGAGATGAGTCTGTATTAGAAACTTGTTCTAGATTGGGTACAGTGGCTCACACCTATAATCCCAGAACTTTGGGAGATCAAGGTGGGAGCACTGCTTGAGGCTAGGAGTTGGAGACCAGACCGGGAAACATAATGAGACCCCGTCTCTAAAAAAAATTAAGAAATTAGCCAGGCATGGTTCTAGCTACTCAGGAGGCTGGGATCACTTCAGCCCAAGAAGTCTAAGGCTTCAGTGAGCTGTGATTGTGCCACTGCACTCCATCCTGGGTAACGGAGTGAGATTCCGTTGCTTAAGGAAAAAACAGAAACAAAAACAGACAAAAAAGTTGTTCTAAATGAAGCCTTACAATTGGTACTCTCCTTAAAAGGCAGAGGAAAGAAGATAGAAGTTTTTAACAGCAAAAGCATTTTCTGAATGTTTGAAAAATGTACACAGCATAAGCTCTTCATTGTCTGGGGCTGTTTGGAAGTCTAAATTAGTAGATTAAATCTCAACTCTCTGAAGCAGCCAGGAGGCACTTTCAGGTCCCTATCGTAAGTTCAACTGGACTCCATTGGTCAGGTTAAGACCCTTTAGGGATCTGCTGTATGGAAGAAATGGAACAGTTTTATTTACTAAATCAATATGTTGGTATGCAAATGAGGGCCTCTGGAGTGGTGAAAAACAGATTAGTCTCAGAAAGATCAAAAACTTCATCTGCAACATCTTTTGGACCATTAGGCATTGCACACTTATAGAACAGGCTGGATTCAAGTCCACCGCCTCTCCCCCAGGGCTAGGCATGTAGAATACTCGAGCCAGTAACTTATAGTCAATGCCTTTGTTCAAAGCCGGAACGCTTGGTTCTGCATTGCAGGAACAGTGAAGACAGACAGCATCTCCTTCCTCTGAACATTCTGTTCGGAATGAATAAAGTTTTAGCATTCTCCCTGGGTGGGGCAGCTTAGCAGGTGAGTTCCTGACATTTCTGAGTAGACATCTGACTCCTCCTTCCTCCAGTCCTAAACTGCACACCAACTTCACTGGTCAGAGAAGCAGGCACCACACCCCACACCTTTGCATCCAGGTGACAAATAGCCAGCACTTCTTCTAGGTGAGTTGAAGTGTTTCCAAGAGTGTGGAAGGTGAACAACACCAGGGATTAGTGTCTAGGCTCCGGACTCAGTGTCTAAATTTGATTCCACCATCTTGGGCCCTTAAGCAAGTCAATATCCCTACACTTGCCTGCATTTTGCCATCTGTAAAACGGCAATGATAATACTAACAGCAAATGCTTGCATACATCTTCTTCCAATCAGACACGGTTCTGAGCACTTTACATATACCAGCCAGAGAATCCTCACATAGCAGTAGTTGAAGTCAGTAGTAGTATTCTCCTCCCCTCCCCTCCTCTCAGTGAGGAATAAATAAATTCTTACCATGAAGGGCTTGGAAATAGTTCAGGGCCCAAAACACTGAATAAGTTTCAGCTATTATTACTTAAGATGGTTTCAAAGGTCACATGGATAAGCATTTTTAGGTCCAGAGATGTGCATTTATAAAAATAAATGCAGGCCAGGCATGGTGGCTCATGCCTGTAATCACAGCATTTTGGGAGGCCGAGGTGGGCGGATCACCTGAGGTTGGTCGGGAGTTCAAGACCAGCCTGGCCAACGTGGCAAAACCCCGTCTCTGCTAAAAATACAAAAAATTAGCCAGGTGTGGTGGTCACACCTGTAATTCCAGCTACTTGGGAGGCCGAGGCATGAGAATCGCTTGAAACTGGGAGACCAAGGTTGCAGTGAGCTGAGATCATGCAACTGTGCTCCAGCTTGGGTGACAGAGCAAGACTCTGTCTCAAAAAAGAAAAAAAATTAAAATAAAATAAAGAGATTCAGCAAAAATTACAAAGGTGGAATGCAAATGCCCAAACACTGGAAAATACTGCTCTAGATCCAAAACAGCCAAAATAGTGCCTGCTTTTATTTACGTATTTATTATTTATTTATTTATTTATTTATTTTAGAGATAGGGTCTCTCTCTGTTACCCAGGCTGGAGTGCAGTGGTGCCATGATAGTTCACTGCAGCCTCAATTCCTGGGCTCAAGTGATCCTCCCACCTTGGCCTCCCAAAATACTGGGATTACAGGTGTGAGCAGCTACCCTGCCCAGCCAGTGCCTGCTTTTAGTGGCTGTCTTCCCTCCTCTCCTCCCTTACAAATGTCTACCTCTCTGTGGTCCAGCAAGCAAGAAAGAAGTCAACTGAATTTCTTCTAGAGAAATTATCGAAAGAAAGAAAGAGAGAGAGAGAGAGAGAGAGAGAGGCCAGGCGTGGCGGCTCACACCTATAATCCCAGCACTTTGGAAGGCCGAGATGGGTGAACAGGTGGATCACTTGAGGCCAGGAGTTCGAGAGACCAGCCTGGCCAATATGGTGAAACCCTGTCTCTACAAAAAAAA